TCTTTGAAAGAATAAATAAAATTGATAAGCCCCTAGCCAACCTTATTAAAAAAAGGGAAGAAAAAGCTCAAATTCATGCAATAAGAAATGAAAAAGGAGAAATCACTACAGACCCAATAGAAATACAGAGGATCATCAACACCTATTTCGAAAACCTCTACTCTCAAAAGTTTGATAACACAGAAGAAATAGACAGATTCTTAGAAGCATATGAAGTACCAAAGCTAGATCAAGAGGATATAAAACTGTTGAATAACCCAATCTCTGCTAATGAACTTGAAAAAGTAATTAAGGCCTTACCCACCAAGAAAAGCCCAGGCCCAGATGGATTCACTGCAGAATTCTACAAGAAATATAAAGAAGACCTAATGCCGACACTCCTCAAACTATTCAATGAAATTGAAAGGGAAGCAATCCTTCCTAAGTCATTCCTGGAAGCAAATATTACTCTAGTACCAAAACCTGAGAAAGACCCAACTATAAAAGAGAACTATAGACCGATCTCCCTAATGAACACAGATGCAAAAATCCTCAATAAAATATTGGCAAATAGGATCCAGCAAATCATCAAGAAGATTATACACCATGACCAAGTGGGATTCATCCCAGGAATGCAAGGATGGTTCAACATACGCAAATCAATAAATGTAATCCACCATATCAATAAAGCCAAAAATAAGAATCACATGATCATCTCTATAGATGCAGAAAAAGCCTTCGATAAGGTCCAACACTTATTCATGATAAGAACTTTACAGAAAATTGGAATAAATGGTCTTTACCTCAATATAATAAAGGCCATTTATGACAAACCAACAGCCAGCATCATACTAAATGGCCAAAAATTGAAAGCCTTTACTTTAAAATCGGGCACAAGACAAGGATGTCCTTTATCACCACTCCTATTTAATATAGTACTGGAAGTACTAGCCAGAGCAATTAGGCAAGAAAGAGAAATAAAAGGGGTAAAGATAGGAAAAGAAGAAGTTAAATTATCATTGTTTGCAGATGACATGATACTCTACATAGAAGACCCCCTAAACTCCATTGAAATACTCTTAGATACAATAAATAAATTCAGTAATGTGGCTGGATACAAAATCAATACTCAGAAATCAATAGCATTCCTATACACGAACAACAAAATTACAGAGAGGGAAATAAGAGAAACTGGACTATTCACATTAGCAAGCAAAAAAATGAAATATTTAGGAATTACTCTTACGAAAGAAGTCAAAGACTTATACAGTGAAAATTACAATACACTGAAAAAGGAAATTGAAGATGATCTCAGAAAATGGAAAGACATCCCTTGCTCATGGATAGGAAGAACAAACATTGTGAAAATGGCCATTCTCCCAAAACTGTTATACAGATTCAATGCAATCCCAATAGAAATTCCATCAACATACCTTATAGATCTAGAGAAATCACTCCTAAATTTCATCTGGAACCAGAAGAGACCCAGAATCGCAAAGGCAATTCTAAGCAGCAAAGACAAAGCAGGAGGCATCACAATCCCTGACTTGAAGTTATACTACAAAGCAACAGTAGTAAAATCAACATGGTATTGGAATCAAAACAGAGCCGAAGATCAGTGGAATAGATTAGAAGATACAACCACAACTACGAACACACTCAACCACCTTATCTTTGATAAAGGAGCCAAGCAGGTTCACTGGAAGAACGACAGTCTCTTTAATAAATGGTGCTGGAAAAACTGGCTCTCCATTTGCCGAAAACTAAAGCTAGACCCATGTCTATCACCATGTACTAAATTAAAATCTAAATGGGTCAAAGATCTGAATATTAAAACAGAAACACTAAATCTATTGGAAGACAAATTAGGTAGAAACCTTGGAGACATAGGAGTAGGTAAAGAATTCATGAACAGGACTCAAACCGCACGGGAAATACTTCCCAGAATCAATAACTGGGACCACTTCTTATTAAAAAGTTTCTGCATGTCAAAAGAAATCTCCAGCATAGTGAAAAGAAAACCCACAAACTGGGAAAAGATTTTAGTGAACTCTCTCTCAGACAAGGGCCTCTTGTCTAAAACATATAAAGAATTAAAGAAACTCAGACCTCCAAAATTCAAAGATCCAATCCAAAAATGGGCATCTGAGATGAATACGCAATTCTCAGATGAAGAAATGCAAATGGCAAATAAATACATGAAAAAATGCTCATCATCATTGGTCATTAGAGAAATGCAAATTAAAACCACACTGAGATACCATCTCACTCCTGAAAGAATGGCCAGGATCAAGAAAACCGACAACAAATGCTGGAGAGGCTGTGGGGAAAAGGGAACTCTCCTGCACTGCTGGTGGGAGTGTAGACTGGTACAGCCTTTGTGGAGATCTGTCTGGAGATTTCTCAAAAAGTTGGGACTGGAAGTCCCATTTATTCCAGCTATTCCACTTCTAGGCATATTCCCAGAAGAACTGAAAGCATCATACCACAGTGATATATGTGCACCTATGTTTATAGCAGCACAATTTGTAATCGCCAGATCATGGAAACAACCCAAGTGTCCATCAACTGAGGAATGGATAAAAAAGTTGTGGTATTTCTATACAATGGAGTATTATTCAGCTATAAAGAAGGATCACATTGAGATATTTATCAATAAATGGGCGCAGCTTGAGACCATACTCATAAGTGAAATAAATCAATCTCGCATGTGTGAATACCGAATAGTTTCCCTAATGTAAGTAATGATTCAAATATATAAAAATATGTGGTAATCATGATTCCCCATTAGGTGGCCTTGGAGCCTTATAAAGTTTTCACTCATTAATTAGAAAGGCTTTATTCTGGGCTTCTTGATTTGAAAATATTTGAAGCTAGAGTATATGAAGTTTTATCCAAATATTTCAAGGAAAAAGACACTATGGTAACTACTATTAAGTCAGGTTATATGGTGGTGAAGTACTAGGTTGTTGAAACAGTCATGCTGTGACCTCTATTGTTATATTGTTATGTCCTGTTTTATCTCAATCTCCCCCTTATTGTTTTAAAAAAATTAGTCATTTCTTATGTTTGTCTTAATTAAAGAAAAAATTCAAATAATTAGGATATATAAATAATAACTCTTTTTGATTTCCTATTAACTTGTTTTGAAGTCCTGTAGTGCTCCCACGATCTTGTTTTGACTGATTAGACGATTAGACTCTGTTCCATTCTATATGGTAGTATCAAGTTTGAAGACATAGGCAACTACTTTGAAGACAATAAGATTCACTAAGATACCCATTCTGGTTTGACTATTGTCTTCTTTGGAAGTCCTGTAATGTTTACAATGCCTAAGTTGTATTGGTCTTGTTCTCTACTGTTTTGTCCAACTTTATAATATCTAATGAGATAGACAATTCTTTTTAAGGAAACAAGGGACAACGTTGATAACCATAGTTGATAAACTTGTACTGTGTTCTACACCATGTGCTATGTCTATCCTTGGTATTGACTGACAGCTTTGTTTTGCCATATTTGACTGTATTCTCCCCCCCTTCCCCAAAAGTAATAAGCACTAAGGAGTAATGAAATCCAAAGGGTGTGAATTTTGTAGTAAAAAAGAGAGGGGAAGAAAAAAAAAAGAGAGCTCTAACGGATATAACAGCAAGTGTGTTTAGGGGTGTTAAATAGCTGACTGTATCAATGTTTGTGGATCATTGAACACAGATGTTTGCAGTCTACCTGTTTGAATGTCCACCTTGTATTCTTTGATACTGTGATTTGAGGAACTATTTTCAAGATGATAATATGTAATATACTAACAGGTGATTTCTTACTGTTATGGTTTTTTTTTGTTTGTTTGTTTGCTTTGTTTTTGTTTTGCTTTGTTTTGTTTTGTTTATGTAGTTCTGTATTACGTGTACCCTTACACCGCTTTGGTTTGTTTTGTGTTTTTCTCTTTTTCCTCTTAAATAAAAAAAAAAAAAAAAAAAAAAAAAAAAAAAAAAAACAAAACAATCCAGTGACACATGGAAGTCTGGCATTTTCATTTTATAAATGGGGAGAAACAAGCCCATTGTGGCACCGCTAATGGCAGACACTTGATAGAAAGGGATTGTTATAGGATTATTTATAATTCAACCAGGAAAAAAAAGCTCCTCCTCATGATGACAAAAAAAGCGGAAGGAAGAAGCAAATGATGAATGGTAGATTGTTTTCTACAAGAAAGTCACCCAATTCCACAATCCTGGGAAAGCCTACAAGACCACAGGCTGGTCCACGCATGGTAGCACATTTCTGTAACCCCAGAATTTGGGAGATTGAGGCAGGAGAATTACCATAAGTTCGAGGTCAGCCTGGACACCATAATGAATTCAAGACCAATGTGAACCTATATAGCAAAGATCCTGCCTCAACACACAACAAAAAGACCATAGGCTGGATCCTTCCTCCAGCTGTGCTAGGGGCAAGCAGTCCAGGTGCTCCTTTTCTCTGTGTACTTCCTATCTCAGGAATCAGATTTGGATGTCAATAGACTCCCCTAATCCCTAAGGAGTTGTTACGAGTTACAGCTTCTGGGTCTCACCTCAGTGTAGGTCTAGGACAGGGACCGGGATTTGGCATTTGAAGATGTACCCCATTCCCCAATAGTCTTGATATAAGAATTTCAAGAACCACACTCTGAAAATCTGCTCATCCTCACAAAATGTTGTTTTCCTGTCAGGGTATTCTTTTCTAGTCTCTCTCTCTCTCTCTCTCTCTCTCTCTCTCTCTCTCTCTCTCTCTCTCTCTCTCTCTCTGAGTTTCTGCTTACCTCCCTAATCCTTTATTTATGCTCTCTAAGCTTCAGTCTAAAGCATAGGTAGAATACTAACCTATGTCACAAGGTCATAGTGAAGATTAAATGTGAAGATCTTGTAATTCCTGAAATATACAAGGTGTGCAGTAAACATGAATTCATGGTTCTTTCTTCTGACTCCGTAGCTCCTCAAAATATAACAGTAGTCAAGCAGCCTTTTTTTGGGTTCCCACAGGTGTTTTAAGCAATGGTCCTGAGGACCTTAGGAAAATCAAGGTGATGTCTTCCCCCAGACTCATCCCCAGCTGGAAGGACTTTAACACCTTCATAAATGACATCATACATAAAAACAAGGTAAAGCATTAATATGGCATCAGTCAGCCTCTATCTTACACTAATGAACATTTCTGAGGAGCCATGGATTGTCTATGTCCAAGAAGCAAGCAGGATAAACCATCAAAACAGTTGTCACTTTAGTAGAAAGTGAGCCTCTTACAAAGGTACTGAATTGTAGACAAAACTCTGAAGCATTGTCAGAGGAGCTAATGTTCTGGAAAGAGAGGTTTCCTAACAGAAGGGAGAAGGCAGCAGAGAGAGCATTAGCCAACCTCAGTTTTGCTATGGATGGCTCTGTATCAATGGATCCCAGATACATGTTTTATAGCACATGTTCTAGCACTATGCATCATGCATTCTGTATATGTGCTGTTTCTGTTAAACTTAATGGCCAGACAGTGTGTCCTAATGTCTTACTTGTACATTTTTAAGCTTTGGTAACTTAGGGCTGAACTGATTTTTAGAAAATTCTCTTAAGGTGGTATACTTACTTGGGTAATGTTAAGAGGAAAGATGTGGTGAGTATCAGTTTGGGAAAAATATCGTTTTTCCCTGTACCCCCACTATAAAACTGTCCACACATGGCCTAAGGATTCAAGTTCCCTCATGCATTAGGAGATTTGTCACAAATGTAGAGATTCCACTGGTGGTGAGCTGTGCATGTGTGGGTGTAATGGGAGTTAGGAGAGGTGGGAGGTGTGATTTGAGGAACTGCTTCAATCATGAACTTTGTGAAAACACATTTAGTGCATGTGTGCCCTGGACTCTTAGTTTATGCTGTCTCCCTCTAGGAATCGTTAGATGTCTCAAAGAATGAAACAGTTGTGCTGAGTGACCGGTCCCAGATACTGTTCAAAGAATCTCGCTATCCTCAACATATGCCACTTATATGCCATTATTTCTGTGATGCCCACTTCTTTGCCTCCCTCTCCTGGGTGACACCCCACACAAAAGATACACAGGTAAACTCTCTTTTTCTTTCTTCTTTCCCTTCTTAGCCCATTTTCTTTTCTTTCTTTCTTTCTTTCTTTCTTTCTTTCTTTCTTTCTTTCCTTTTTTGTACTGGGAATCGAACTCATGACCTAGCACTTGCTGGGCAGGCACTATGCCAATGAGCTAACCCCCCCCCCCGGCCTTCTTAGCCCACTTTCTATGGGCCAAACCCATACAGCTCTCAGACCAAACTGACAAAGGAATATAAACCCTTAAATAAATGTGACCTGGATCCTGGTGCCCTGCCACCTACTTTCCCCAATTACTGTCTCCATGCTGAGTACACTTGAGTTCCTGTAAAATAGACTGAGGTTTAAAAAAGGGTCCTACACTTTCTACCTCTACCCTAGTTCCAAGTCCCATCACTAGGGGGCAAAATCACTGTAGAGTCTTCCAGTTCCTCCTTAACAAAAGAACAGGAAAGCGTAGCTGAGTATTTGGCCCTTTTCTGCTTTACTATCTTTTCTAGTTTCTACCTCATTCTCTTCCAGGCTATAGTGTGGATGAAGAGCACATCTGAGGACACGGTTGAGAAGAGAGCGTTCTCCATGACTGAGCGACTGCCACCCATCCAGTCAATGGTCCACACCGGTTCCTTTCATATTCTCGTGACTTACTGTGGTGACCTGATCCTGCGCCTCTTTGGGGACCACTTTCGGGCATTCAAACCCCTAGCCACTGTGCCCTGCCGCTTCAACATCAACTGTCTCTGCTATGACCCAGAAATGAAGATGCTTCTGTCAGGCATCTGGGGGTCTGTGGTCACCTGGGTCATTGATTCCAGTGGCAAGGGCCTCCAGATAGCTCACATGATTTCCATACCTGGTAATGAGCTTGTGCAGGAAATCGTGCTCAATGGTCCCAATGGCTCCCTCCTAGCCCTCTGTGAGACTGCAGTGAGAGCCCTTGAGCACCAGGGCCAGGGCAGGCTGGGAGAGGTGAAGAAGTTCATGTCCACCAGCAGTGGCTCCTCTATCACCTGCTGCTTCACCTGTTTGGATAAGGATTTTCTCTATGCTGGAAACAAGGCTGGGGAAATCCAAGTATGGAGCCTCAGTCACAGCCACGCCCTCCACAGTTTCAAGGCCCACTCCTCATTGGTGGTTTGTATCCGCAGCCGGTCAGAGGCCAACACCCTGCTGACAGCCGGCCAGGAAGGCTTACTGAAGGAGTGGAACCTTACTTCAGGGAACCTACTTCGGCAACTAGAACTCCGTGAGGAGCTGTACTGCCTCCAGTTTATTGATGACACTACCTTCTTCTGCCAAACTTCCCACACATTTTTCTTGCGCCGTCTACCCTGCTTCTATAGCCTCTTCCATGTCTGTGGATCTGCTCCCCAGCAGGTGCATCGGGTCTTCTGTGGCGATAACTGGTACAGGATCCTGTGCATTACAGAAGATGGCCTGTTGCGTTTTGTGTCCCCATTAACAGGGGATCTTCTGCTTCTCACCTGGCCCTTCTCAATCCTGGACCACGCTGTGGATTGGGCCTATGACCCAGGTAAAGAGGAGCTCTTTGTGGCAACAGGCAGCACAGAAGTGTTGGTGTTTGACACAACCCGTAGTCCTTGCCCAGCCAAGTATCTTATATGCACATCACCAAATTCTCGGGACTTTGTGTACTGCCTGGCTTATGGACATTTCCACCTGGGGCGAGGGATAGGAGGACTGGTATTCTCTGGGCACCAGAGTGGTATGGTAAGAGTGCTTTCCCAGTGTAGCTGTGCCCGAACAGAGAGATTCATACACTACGGGACTGTCCTGGCACTCTCTACACTGGCTGCAGGGCTTTCAAGTGGCCTAGAAAACTCTTTGCTGTGTTCCTATGGAATGGATGACTATATACACTTATCAGAAGTTGTGTTTGATGGCACCAAAGTACAGCTGCAGCCTCTCTCGAGCATTCTCAGCAGCTGTCCCCTAAATCAACTGATTCTCTTGCCCAACTCTGTGGGAGCCATCACAGATGCTAACTGCCTGCATCTCTGGAAGTTCCATGATTTTATGTCCTATGGGTCACAAAAAGGCTCAAAATTCATAGAGACACTGCCTCTGCACCAGTGTACTATCACATCCTTTGATGTCTGCCTGTCCTTGAGTATTTTTGTCACAGCTGCTAGTGACGGCTCTGTCCGGATCTGGGACTTCCATGGCAGACTCATAGCCATGCTGGACTCATCACTGCACTTTGGCCCGCTCTGCTTTGCAAATGACAGGGGAGACCTGCTTGTGAGTTTCAATCAGGGACTTTATCTGGTGTCTTGCTTAAAACTGCTTCCCCCTAACCTGCTTTCTCTCCTTTCCTTAAGGAGTATAGCAGATGAAGTGCTAGAAGCCCCTAAGCCTTTCACACCAAGCTTCTTCCTCTCTTTTGAGACCATGTTTTTGCCCAAGTATATCTACCTGGGTCATGGGAAACAGGAGTTAGTGGGTCTGCAGAACCTTGTCAATAAGCGGGCCATTGCCTTTGACAATTCTGTGCCACATGTCATAGAAGAAGATGAGGATGGGAGTCCTGTGTTACTGGGTACCCCCAAACATGAGGAGGGAGTACAGATGAGAAAGCCTCCCCATCACCATTATGTGGTTCCTCCTCAGTTACAACTGACTTATTGGGATGGACTCAACCCTTATCAGATACTGAGATGCTACTTTGGTGATGGGCGGGAATGGTTCCTTGCCCCTGACTGCTACATCCCCAACTCAGTGATTCGTGCCCATCTTTGGCCAGAGGGCAGCCCGATACACCTACAGTGTAACCTGCATTCACCCCAGCGTGAACTGGAGTGGGAAACATCCCAACCCTTCTTCTTCTGGCAAACCAGGGCAAGAACTTTAAGTAAAGTGCAAGCAAATGAAGAGGAGGAGGAGGAAAGTTTCCTAGCAATGAGAAAATCCAAGGAGGGAACCTACAGTGTCCTTATAGACTCGGCAAACCGTAGTTGGCTGGGCAGAAAAATGAGTGAAGTAGCTATTAGGAACCTAGTTGAGACGATCCTCACTATTATGACCCATGCTCCTCCACTGAAGTTCCAGTGCTGCATTGGTGCACTAGGACAGATCTTTGCCTCTTACCAGGTGTGTCCATCCCTGCGCTCTGAGACTGCTCATCGTCTGCTGGATGAAACAACCAATTCCAACCCACTGATCCGAGAGCTAGCCTGGGAAGGGCTGAAGCGCCTAGGAATGGTCACTCATCTCTTTGCCTTGCCTCTGGCCCAAGGGTTAATGGATAAGGATGAAAGAGTAAGGAATAAGGCCCTCAACATCATGCCAGAGACTGGAATCCACTCTAAGACCTCACTCTTAAACTTGATTCAGAGACCAGAGACTTTACAGGAGATGAAGTAAGTTGTTTGTGCTTTCCTCAATTTTCTACCACCTGCTAAATTTCTTTTTCCTCTTCTGCATTTTTTCAATCTTATCTTTTTTAATCCCTGTTCACTAGGCCTCCCAAATCCTTTTTCTTTTTGAGATGAGGTCTTGCTATGATACCCAAATTAGGGTCAAACTTGTGATCCTTTTGCCTCAGCCTCCACACACCTACAATTACAGGTGCATACCTGGCTTTCTAACTTTTTTCAATTCCTAGACTATTCTTTTTTTTTTTTTTTTTTTTATCGGTACCAGGGATCGAACTCACGACTGCCTGCTTGCAAGGCAGGTGCTTATGCCGCTGAGCTAAATTCCCAGCCCCTCCTAGACTATTCTTGATGATCCTATCTACTCACTCTTTTCTCCATTTCTTTGCTATTTTCTGCCTGCACTTTGTCTTTTTAAGTTCTACTTTTCATTTTTTCTTGCTACTCTGTAGTTCCTACACAAATTCCCTCCAGTCACTGCCATCTTGGTTTCTTAGATTTTTTTCTTTCTTCTTGGTCATTATTTACCTGTACCTGTGCTGTCCCCCTCGGTCTCTTTGCCAAACTCCCTGCCTATTCTACAGAAAAGTTCTTTCTTTCTCATTCTCTCTTCTGTCCATCGTTTAACATAGTCTTTCCTCTCTTAGGCAAGAGGTGATTGGGGACGAATCCCTGGGCCACCTGCTGGGGATGCGGCCCACAGATCTCCAAATCCTTTTCACTCAAGTGCAGCGGCGACTGAATGAAAACTTGACCTTGTCAAAAGAAGACAGGATGTCTCATTTTTCTTTATATGTCTCAAACCTTATGCTCTCTCCTATACAACCTATCATTGTTCCTGAAGAAGCTGATGTCAAGCGCAGCAAAGGCCAAAGACGGGGCCAAACAGGGGGCAAAAGGCACAGTATGTATGGAATGATCTGATCTGTGCCTCTGGGTCCCTAAGAAGCAAAGTAGTTGGGGCTGAAACAGGTCAATTGATACTGGAGGGAAGAGAGAGATAAAGTGATTTCATCATAGAAGAAAATTCTCTCAGAACTATCTACTGAAACTTGTGATGATCCCAAGGGCTATCTTTCCAAGGATTGCTGAGGAGTAAGCTGTGGGAATACAGAGAGTCTATAGAATGCTTTTTTATTTTTTACTTTAAAATTTTTTATTGTAAAATTTGCAGTAATAATTAGATTCATCATTAGGAACTGTTATATGTATGTAAGGAATGCTTTAAAAAAGAAAGAAAAAAAGCCCTATCCCTTTCTGTTACTCTTTCTTCCATGGCCATTCCCTTCATCTACTAATTTTTCTTGCAGCTCAAAAATTGTTGCGAGGTCTTAGAAAGATGAAAGAGGGAGACTTTAAACAGATGAGCACAGAGCCAGGCCCAACAGAAGGTGAAACTGATCAGAGTAAAACTGTGCCACTTGAAGTGGAGAACACAACTTTCTACTCCAGGACCTCAATCAGTAGTTTAAAGGACTTTCAAGATGTTGAACCTTCAGAAATAGATGTCTCAGAGAGTTACACTGCTCAGACCTTGAAGATGTTAAAGCAAATGCCTGACACAAGAGGCAAGAAAGCTACAGCTAAGAAACTCACAAAGAAGTACAAGAAAAGACAAGAGGAAGAAGTTTTAATTGAGGAAGAGGTGTCTACTGTAGAACCAATAGAAGAACCAGCTAGGAAAATAATTAAACCTCAGGGGCGGGGTGCTGCCGGAGTGCCTGGCCATAAGGTTGGATCTGCCACCTCCTGGCGGGATGATCTATGTCGTCTTATGACCCTGAGGATATCTGGTTCCCAAACAAAAATGTCAGAAGATCTAAACACTGAGTTAGTGACTATGGCTCAGGAGATTCTGGCGGATCGGCAACCCAGCTGGGAACTCTTTCAGAAGATCTGCCCTGTGTTGAAGAAACAAAGCATGGAAATGTCTGAGGACCTTGACAGGGATGTAGTCTGGCCAGAAGAGAAACCAAGTTTTATCTATGAAGAAGAAATTAGGGAGGACATGGTTATCAGAGACAAGGAAGAGACACCAGTGGAGTACGAAGAACAAGTGCAAAGGGAAGACAGGGACATGGAGGGCTGGCAGGTAGTTCCCAAAAAAGGCAAGGAAAAGCAAGTTGTTTCTGTAGAATCAGGTGACCTGACTAAGAAAAAACAAAAGTCAAAGAAGGAAGAGAAGAAATCCTCTGAGAAGACATCTATGGAAGAGAGGAAAACAACCCAGGAGGACAGTAACATACATAAAAAGGAGAACAAAATAACTGAAGGATTGAGAGATGTGAGCAAGAAAGTCGAGGAAATGACAAAAGCAGAAGAGAAAGTGGTTAAGCCAGAAGAAAAGCCAGTTAGTGTAGAAAAGACGCAGTCTTGGCAGGAGTGGAAGACCTCGTGGGATCAGTGGAAACAGGCACGCAGTGAGAGAAAGATATCCTGGGAAGAATGGAAGCAAGACTGGGACAAAACCCATCTTCAGGAAGAGAAGAAACTGCCCCAGGCTGAAGAGGAACTATTCCTAGAGGAAGAAATGCAGGAGGGGAAGAAAAAGCAGCTGAGTAGGGATGAGTGGAAACAGATCTGGGAAAACGTGTTTTCTCCGAGGTTCAAGGATAAGAAAAAACTATTCAAAGAGTGGAAAGAAGTATTTAAGGAATTGAGAAGAGAAAGAGAAGATGAAAAAGAAGAGCTGTCCTCCACACAAGAGCAGAGACAGATCCAGGAAGAGCAGAAAAAGGCGAGGGCACAGAGAAAACAAGCCCAATATAAAAAACAAGAAGATAAACAGGAGAAAAGACTAGCACAAGAAGAAGAGAGACTCACACAAGAAGAGAGAAAGCTGGCCCAGGAATATGTGAAAATGGCCCTGAAAGATAAGAAAATGGCCCACTTAGACACTAAGTTTGCCCAGAAAGAGGAAAAAGTGGCTCAAAGAGAAGAGGAGTTAAGCCACAAAGCAGAGAAATTGGCTCACAAAGAGAATAAACTGGCCAAGAAATTGAAGAAAGTTACTCAGGAAGAAGAGAAACTAGCAAAAAGAGTAGAAAAAGCAATTGAGGTAAAAATACTGTTGGCCCAGACAGCAGAAATAGTGAAGCAGAAGGAGCAAAGTCTGGACTGGCAAGAAAATGTGCTGGCTGAGGAACTAGAGGAACTGGCAAGGGACATGGAAGACCTGGCTTCAAAAGAAGCAGAGCTGAAGCAGGAAGAAGACAGACTGGTTAAGGAAAAGGAGGAACTGGATGAGGAAGGGGAAGTACAGGCCTTGCAAGAGGAGAATCTGGCTAAGAAAGAGAAATCATTGGCCCAGGAAGAAGAGCTGCTGGTGCAGGAAGAAGAGAAGCTGGTGCAGGACAAGGTAAAAAACCCTAAGGAAGCAAGGAGATTGGCTTGGAAAAGGCAGTTACTGCTAGAGGTCAAAGAGAAACTGGCCCAGGACAGGGAAAAACGGACCCAGAACAAGACAGAATTAACACAGAACAAAGAGAGACTGACCCAGAAGGAAGAGAATCTGGCTCAGAAAAGGAAGAATTTGGCTCAGGAAAAGGAAAAATTGGCTCAGCAGGAAGAGAATCTCCACCATGTCGAAGAAGAACTCCACCAGGAGAGAGAGCAATTAGCTCAGGTGAAGAGGAAAACAGATACATACAGAGAGACACTGGTTCAGCTAGAGGAGAAGCTGAGTCAGGAAAATGAGGGATTGGTCAAGAAGAAGGAGAAACTGGATGCTGTAGAGAAGAACCTGGTTCAAGCAGGTGGAGCCCTGGCTAGAAACCAGGAGAAAGTGGCCCAGGAAAAAATGGAATTATCTGTGGCAAAGAAGGCAGCGCTCCAAGGAAGGGAAATACTCAGAGATGAGCTGGAAGTTGCTAAGATAAAACACACACTGAACATAAAAAAGATGATGATGGTACTTCAAAAACTAGTCAGTGATGAAAGGAAAATAAGTCTTGAAGAAATAAAGATGACAAACATAAAGCAGTCACTTGTTGTCAAGGAGAGCACACTGAGCAAGGAACAGAGCAGACTTGATATCGAAGAGTTGAATATTTCTGATCAAGAGTCAAAACTGGATGAAAAGAAACCAGTTAAAAAACAGAGAGAAATGGCCAAAAAAATGAGTACTATTACATATCATGAGAAAAAAATGGCTGAAGAGAAAAGTAAATTGGCCAAGGAGCAGAGAGAAGTCATACAGGCTGTAGAAAAGGAAGGGGTAATAGAGGAGGAAGATAAAACTCTATTCCTTAAACACAAGCAGAGAAAAAGGAAACAGTCAAAAGACATTGATACCCTAAATGAAAAGTTTCACAGAAAAGTGGATGAGATAGAAAGTGAAGAGAGCATTTCTAAGGAAATAGAAAATCTATTAGAAGTAGGACAAGAGAGTTTGTCTGAGGAGGAGGAGGAAGAAGAAGAGGAAGACAAGGAAGAGGAAGGAGAGAAGGAAGAAGGAAGGAAGGAGAAGGAAAAGAGGAGTAAGGAAAAGGAAAAGAAGAAGAAAAGGAAGATGGAAGAGGATGAAGGTTCCAAGGAGGAGGAGGAAGACATGCGAGAGGAAGAACTGGCAAGTTTGAGTGAGACACAGGAGGAGAGAAGTTCAATAGAAATGGGCAAGGAAAAAGACACCTTGAAAAGAGAAAAACCATTTAAGCTACAGGAAGAAAGAAGAAAGGACCTACAAAGAAGAGAAGTAGTCCCTTCTATTGGAGAAAGATTTGTTGCAGTCAAGGGCAGTGGTGCAAAACTGAGAGTTCTAAAAGTCCCTTCCGGACAGCCAGTCTCTGTATCTATGGATATTGGAGGGAAGATACAAATGCCCCTGCCTGTCAAACAAGTACCTCCAGAAGAAAAACTCACAGCACTTCAGACATGGAGCACAGTCTCAAAGGTAGAGCTAGAGGATAAAGAAAGAGAACTGTTTGAAAAATATAAACACGTTCCTCTACCTGTTTTGGATACAATTTTAATGTTCCAAGAGCAGGACACGAAGATACCATTCACATTCAACATATTTAGGAAAACAGTGGAGGCTCACAAACTCAAACATAGACTCCCTGATGCCAGGTGGAAGTGGCTTTTGGAGCATCATCCATCTCTGACAGAAAAACATAAGATACAACCACCTCTTGCTCAGATCCTGACTGACAAACAACATCCAGAGGTACAAGTAAGCCTCACAGATACAGAGTGGATCCATCAGGTCCTAGAACGGATGGAAGCAGGAGAACAGCTTTCCAGAGACAGCTTCCACAGATTGTGTCAGCTCCTCAAAGACCTGACCTCAGAGGGAAACTTAGAGTAGCTCCATCCGGCCATGCTTGACACCATCGTGCACCATCACATGCAGGCTCTGGAGTCGCGAAGCACAAGGGCCTCGGAGCCCAGCAGGAAATTCATGACTCTGAAACACCTGCAAGCGATTCCTCCTAGAAAAGGAAAGGAGAAGGAAAGTTGGCTAAAATCCTTGACTGTCCTTACACCAAAGTCCCTATTACCTGCCAAGGTGATTACAGACCCAAAGGCCACAAACTGGCATCTTCTAGGTGAACCTTGCAGAAGCGCACGGCTACAGCAGCTATCCAATGCTCTCAGGGAAATGCAGACACATTTTTATCCTGACACAAGAGACCTCTTCACAGGTGCCCATGCCTCTGTGGAAAAACAAACCATGGCACTAATGTTTCAGAAGGACCTCAGGGATTTTAAGGATAAGGACAGGTTTCTTAAACTGCCCAAGTTGGAGAAGAAGACACAGCCTGTCTCACAAAAGAAGGAAAAGATACCTCCATGGGAGACATTTGTGGCACTGTACCATGTTTTGCGGATGCTGCAGCAGCGATACGGTAAGGACTCTGCTGCTTGGACGGAACAGTTCCATCAGCTCATGGACTTGTACCAGCTCAAGTCTCCCAGAATCCAGAGGCTGCTACAAAATCTGCTACTGGGAAAGGAGCCTCAACCCAAACAGATCATCAAAAAAGAGGCCCTGCAGGCTATGGAGCCAGTACCTGGGGAACGGGTGTTTTACTGCCTGATTTGTGGTGGCTCTCATACCCCAAGCAGTCTGGGGTTCCAGAATGTGATACCCCTTCCTGGATAGAATAGTGTGTGCACCTTCCTTCCTGTAGGTATTGCCAAATATGGGATCTTAGAACTTGCCTGGAAGAGCCTGCCCCAAGCTGATACTTGCCTCACTAAGGGATTTCCCCGCATCATTGCTACCACTCCCAAATTTGGGACTGGCTAGAGGTTAGAACTTTACATTCTTAATTGGAGAAAGCTTTGCTCATCAGAATCTAGAGGTTCATTTCTAGGGACCAGATCAAAGTGCTTTCCCTACCCATTTCTGGAAACCTGTTTGTGGAATAAAGAGGAGGTTTTTTTTTCAACTTTAATGTGTTCTTTTTCCCCAAAATTTATATTTTTAGAAAGGTAGTCAAAGACACACACTTCTGTGAGTGGGAAAATGTCCCAGTGGCTACGGTATTTACTCTGTGAAGCTCTTGAAGAGTTTGTCCTTGACCTCTTCCTTCCTTATCTCCCACCATTCCCACCCCCAAAACTACAGGAAACAACTGTCACAAAAGTAGTGTATATACGCATTAATATAAGAAGTGGAATGGATTTAAGAATCACAGAGCTAACATTTTGATTTTAGTATTTGGGGGGCATGCTGTGGGGAGTGACACTAATTCCCTGATCATAGCTGTGCATGATGATGACTTGAATCCTAAATAGCAATTGTGCTGGGTATTGAGATCCTTAGAGTAAAGGAAAAAACTTCACCAAGTTTAATGCAGTACTATCTGCTGAGTTCATTGCTGGATTCCACTAAAGAGTGAAGCCATCTGAGGTTAAAGCAGGAGAGAACCTTATGCCTTTCATTTCCTTTGGTACCACCTGGAGATGGAGTTTGAGAGAGTGATGGAATAAGAATTCAGAAGACTAAGTATAGGCTCAAATAAGTCCCCAGTTGTTGAGGAATTTATGATCCTTACTTCCAACAAATAAAAACATAAGATTTAAAAGAAAAAATGATGGTAGAGGAAGCTTTCACTGCTAGTAATCTCGTTGTTTCCTTACATGGACTCTTCAGAGCTGCCTCTTTCAAGGGAAGCTGAATCTTCCAACTGCGTCTAGTGAGCACCTCATCTTTGCCACTGTCCATTCCCTGCCACAACCTCTATTTTGTTATTCTAATCCTTTGCATCTTTGTATGTGTTTTCCTTTGGGAGGAAACAGGAGATAGAGGGCAGAACATTCTGAGAAGTTAAATTCAGCTCAAAGGTCAAGAGCAATGAGAGCTATGAATCCGCAGTTGGGCTCTTCTATATTAGGGTACCCATTGGGCCACATAGACTGTGTGAGAGCCATGGTTTGGAGCAGAAAGCCTCAAAACGGATGACTCACTTGACAGCTAGGCAAGCCAGTGAAAGTAAGGATAGCCTAGTATCCTTGACTTGACTCACTTCTCCTTTTTGGCCTCTGTTTACTTATCTGTCAAAAGGGAATAATACTCACTATGAAAATGAGGCATGAAAGAGGGACACCACTACAGAAACCTAAAGATACTTAAAAAGATAAAACTAAAGTCAGGTTATCGGTGGCTCCTCTAGTAAAAACAAAACCCAGTGAATTGTTGTGATCCTAAGGTCAGAAAGGAGCCTCAGAACCTTGGTACTTGCTGTGACCAGTTTCTTTGTCTTGTTTTGTTTTTTGAGACAGGGTCTCATTACGTAATTCAGGCTGCCCTTGAATTCACTATGTGACCCCCCTCAGTAGCCTCCAACTCAGGGCAATCCTGTTGCCTCAGTCACTTGAGTTCTAAAATTATGGGTATGTACCATCATACCCAGCCTAACGATTCAGATATGGCAAGAAGTCATTCGTTTGTATTTTCTGTTATGCAAATCTGGGGGCTGGAGATGTAGCTCAGTCACAGAGCATGATCAAAGAAAAGTAGCGACATTTTTTGGGCTTTCTGAGACAGAGTCTAAATATGCAGTTCAGGATGCCTTTGAATTCACTATGTAGCTCCCACAGTAGCCTCCAACTCAGAGCAATCCTCTTGCCTCAGCTTCCTGAGGGCTAGTATGACAGGTGTGTGCCTCCACAACTGGCAAGTACTGATTTTTATCAGGGAAAGTCATAGGTAACAAATTTGAAATTCAGGAATAGTTTAGTGAATGGGGCTTGGAAACAATTCTATCTCTGGAATTATGGTCAACCTAATAGTATATCATTTTACTACAAATTATTTAGAAATATTGACTAAAACATAATCATCCTTTCAAATGTGAAGTTGTGCTGAGCTGATAAGATCAGCAACAAAATATGAAGGAGAAATAAAATCAAATGGTAGGTCTTAGGTTAGGGGTGCAGCTCAGTGATAAAAGTAGATGCTTAGCATAAGCAAGGCCATAGGTTCAATCCCCCACATCAACACAAATAAAGCACACAAGTGATAGGCCTGTGACCTATTGTTTAGACAATGTGGCAAAGTGTATGGTTTTCTGGTTGTAGTAATTTAAGATCTTGCTTGGGTTTTTATACCCCAATGAGGACAAGATAAAAGTTTTGAACCAGAACCAAATAACTGGTTGTACTTTTGAATAAAGAGGAGAATAACAGGATGAGGCAGATAATCCAAAATAGAATCTGTCCACCTGGTTATGGTATGTTAGATACATGAAGTAGGAAAAATAAGGTGCTTTTTAAGGATTCTTAGACATGAGTTTGCACTTATCCCTGTTAAGGTTTTGTGTCTGGATGTTCCCCCAAAGCCTCCAATCATGGGGGCAGTCTTCTAGAATTTGTGATTGATTCATGGTCCAATGCTGGGATTATAGGTGTGAGACTACACCCACCCTAGAGTGGGTAGCCTACATACAATATAAGGAACAGGAAGTCTTCTATGCTTTAGTAGAGAAGCACAAGGTATTCTTTAGTCAAGAGGATGAAAGTGAAATGTCTGGGTCTCATTTTAAATTTGATGGGATGCAGTGTTAGTTTAGGGTTTAAACCAAAATGTCTAGCATCTCCCATTTTCCCTGCCAGAGCTCCTGTATTAAATTACCAGAGGAAACTTTAGGGAGATTGAGACTGAGATTTAACCTCATTTTTATTTACATCAATCTCTTCTGTATTTTCACTCTCTCTTTTTGTTGGCTTCTGCCTCTAAACATTTAAACATATTTGGTTTTCTGATTTCAAAAAAATCCTTTTTGCGGAACCCAATAATTAGGTCTTCTCATGCATGTCATAGAGAGTAATAAGCAAGATTTTGGAGAACCCAAACTTTATAGTAGAAATTGAAGTATGGTACTGACTCTTGCTAGATGAAAAAGAAATGCTTAGGGCCATTAAGCTCTATAAATAGGAATCATGAAGTAGGGGCCTCCATAGCACACTAGAGCCAGCCAGTGCTTCCAATAAGATAAGTTTAAAAATTCAGAGTAAGAATCTAGAAAATTTTGTAGCAACTTAATGAAACACAGTAGTTTTATGTCTGTTGAACTTAATAATAAACAACCTGCAGTAAAAATCTTTCTTTGGACTGGACCAATATGGCCAAAATGATAAGCAGCAGAAAAAGAGAGTCTGAGAATCACCATCCAGATGCTGGAATATTGCAACATGAGGAAGACAAGAAGTAGGGAAGTGGCTCCCCTGGACCCAGGAAGAATCTGAAGCATGAATTGAAGCCTGTGGAGAGAGTAAAGAGAGAAACTTCAGTGAAGAAATAGATAGCCAGTGGCATCTTTTCCCTAAGAAGGGACTCACTATGTGTGTGAGAGGAGTGGTTCAAACCTGTGGACACGTAGTGACCCTGGAGGCCGCCATAGAAAGGCACTGCAGTGGAGGGGAGCAATGGACGTGAAGGACTGCACTGGCTGGGCAGTGAGTGCTAGGGGCTTGGTCCTCCTGCAGGGGAGAGCAATTGATCCAGAGCCATCTTGGAGATGGGCCAGCTGAGATCAGAATACAGAATTGCAGCTGGCTTCATCTAGTGGCTCCCAGTTGGCTCAGACCTGCAGAAGATGCTCAGTCAGCGGTGAGCCAGATGAGTCCAGTATTGGCCAGAGAGTGCAGGCTCACTGAGATTATCTACTACCCCTATTACTGGCTTGCTGGGATAGACTGGCATGGGTCGGGACTCTATCTCTACAGATTGTCTACCAGTAAAGGCACAGACAACTTTGGAAGTGGACTCTCTCTCATTTGTTTTGTTGCTGTTGTTGTGGTGGTGGTGGTAGTGGTTTGTTTTTGTTTTTATTTTTTTCTCCATTGTTTGATCTTGTTTTTATGAGTGTGAATGTGGTTTCTAGCTTCTTTGTGATAGTTGTGGTTCTGTTCTGTTCTTCTTTTTATCTTTTCCTTCTCTCTTTCCTTCCAGTCTTCTGTACCAGTTTCCCAAAGTTAGTGTGATCCTCCATTGTCCTCCAACCTTGCAATCTCTTCCTCTTCTTCCACTTCTCTATTTTCCCCTTAACCCATTTTAAATTATAAACCTTGAGTACCAGGAACCAAACTCATGACCTTGTGCTTGCCAGGCAGATGCAGAGCCACTGAGCTATATCCCTAGCCTAAAACTGACATATTAAGGACTTATATACTGCATATAATTTTCTGACTTGTTTTAGATTTTTTAAATTAGATTTTGTTTGGTTACTCTTATTTTATTGTTGAGACAAAATATCTTACACCCAAAATGAAGGAAAGAAAAGTTTGTTTAGCTCACTGTTCGTGGAAGTTTCAGTTCATAATCAGCTGGCTCCAAGGCAGGGTGGCATAGCACCAGGGCAATAACAGTTCAAGGCAGCAGCCAACAAAAACAGCCAGAACAAAAGAGGGGAGAACAAGCCTCTTCTTTCTTATACTATAAGCAGATTGCCCTCCTCACACCCTTGGCAGGTGTAGCACTCACACCACCTCTGTGCATTCCACTTGCACAGGCTGAGGAAATTTAGAAAGGTTGCCCACTGAGTCTCTTAGTTAAATTTCTACACAATGTATCAACCATAACAATCCACCCCTTGTCAATCTGGCAACCAGACACATTTCTTTAAACCTGTTTCCAGATAAAAGACATGCTTATTCATATCATTTCACAACTTGAACACTATTACACAGGTTTAACAATCTTTAAGAACCAGTATTAAGTCTTACCAATATTATATTACATTAGAACCATAGCATTCCATCCCTGGCCCCCAAAGATTTGTGCACATTCCTTTGTGTAAAAGGCATTTAGTCCATCTGCAAGACTTGCCACAGGCCTAAGAGTTTCAGCATTACTGAAAAGTCCACGTCCCAAGCCTCCTCTGAGATGTAAGGCAAACTCTAGCTGCAAGCCCCCGTATTGGTGAAAACAAAGTTAAATACTTCC